TTTTTTGTTTTCTTTAGGTCACGAGCAGTTGTCCAAGCATTTCACTACATATCGTACTGTGTATGACTGTGTACGTGACAAATAAAATTTGAATTTGATTTGTATTGTTTATTTTAATATTTGTGTACAGCGCTTTGTGACTGTTTGTCTGTGAAAAGCGCTTAATAAATAAATTTTATTTACTTACTTACTATGGGACTTATGAGGGATTCAGAAACCTTAAATGTGCTATCTGTGGTTGTAGATACACAGTAGAGTAAATGTGTGCAAGGTTAAGAATTTGTAGCTCTTGACAAATAGTTTGAATCGAGGACTACTTCCACTTACTTCTTGGCTAGCTTTGAGTTAGCATGCTATCTATACCGTCTGATGTTGTTTTAGCAGGATAATGCAGTTGTTTCTGTGCTGAACACAGTTTGCATTCTATCATCACACTCTTGTTCTTTCATGCAATAAAAAAATAAAGGTAATGTCGACATCGCCCCTCCTCAAAAGCTCTAAACCACTGCACCATTTCTCTCCTCCCTGCGTAAAAACTGAAATCAGCTGATTTTAGCGCAGGAAGAAAAAGGCATGCTTGTTTGATTTTTTTTCTTTCAATCCTTATGTTTTTGTTTGTTTGTTTGTTTTGTTTTGTTTTTTTAAAGACCTAAACACTTTTCTCGGTAAAAACTGTACAGGTGCTACCCAGTCAATGCTTTTATTTTTAAAGGCGTTCCCGGAAGCGGTAGTAGTGATGGCAGCAGCTTTGACTCCGTAGCCGCGTGTCTCGGTGGTGGGATGAGAGAGAGAGAGCGTGAGTGAGAGACAACAGCGAGGACTGACTGGAGGGGGGAGGAGGAGTCTGTCCCAGCCTGCATCTGGCCCGCTCCCCTCTCTGTCACCCCGGGCCAAACCCGCCCAGCTCCTCTCACTCACTCTCCGCCTGTTTTCCCGCACGGCTCGGCCCGGACACACACACAGAGCACCCACTCACACACGGCGCGAGGACACGGAATGGAGACGGAAGGGAGCCAGAGCAGCCTGTCCACCGCGGACTCCCCGCATGACCCCTGGTAATGGAAGAAAACTTTGTTTTTTAAACTTTCTTTCGCACCTCTGATCACACATACACACACCTCTGAAACAAACCTGCTACCCTGCGAGAGGACTTCCACGCACACGCACAGCTCTCGTGTAAAATCAGAGGTGATTCTCCCTGAACATCCACCTTAAAAAAAAAAAAAAAAGCTCCACGGTTAAACTTTCCAGGTCTCAACTTTGTCATTTCTGAGTAGCCGCATTAATTTCACCGGAGGTTGTAAAAAAAAGAAACGATGACTGTGTCGCCTAAATAGAAATATTTTCTCTGTTTTTCCGCAGCAAAATGTTCATAGGTGGACTCAGCTGGCAAACAACACAAGGTAAATCTTTTTTTTTTTTTTCCAACACTAGCTCTCCTGAAATGCCACCATGTCGTTAGAAATCCTGGCGTGGATCACAGGGAGCCAAACCAAACTTATTGGAAAAGCTGTGTTTGTTACGGTGTCTGTTGGGATGAACTCTGCTTGTTTTTATTTGTTGTCTTTTTTTTTTTTTAGTTTTGAAGTGGCAAACAGGCTCAGAATGAATGCCCCCATTCACATATACCATAGTGGATTCTTATAAGCTCATTAAAGGGGTGGTGGGGAGGTGTTAAATTCTTGAGATTGGAAATGATTTGTGATTTGAATTTTCTTTTGACACGTGAACATGTTTTATGTTTTGTCACTTTTAATCTAAAAATGCAGGAAGTTTGACGAAACAAATCTCAGCAGGCAAATCACCCCCCTCCCCCCAATCCCATCCCCTTTGGTTAACTTTTTGATATTAAAGTACTTATTGCTTGTTGACCACTTGTTTCCTGTGTCTTCTATCCTGCCTTGTTTGATTCCCAGAGGGTCTGAAGGAGTACTTCTGCAAGTATGGCGAGGTGAAGGAGTGTATGGTGATGCGAGATCCAGTTACTAAGCGCTCGAGGTGAGGGAGCTGTTCCCGGAGCTTGGAAGTTTGTCTGAATTTCTGCGATTTTCTCGCTCCTCGTAATGTGTCATATCAACATGTGTCAGTAATGCCTTCCCTCTCTCTCTCTCCCTCACTCCCCACCTCCCCCCACCCTGATGCCCACAGAGGGTTCGGATTCGTCACCTTTGTCGATCAGGCTGGCGTGGATAAAGTTTTGGCTCAAACCAGGCACGAGTTGGACTCCAAAACAGTGAGTTCTCTGTATTTACTTCCCACCACCGGATAATCCCATTGCTCACTGTTTGATTAGTGGATTTTCCAATAATCCGCTACAGAGGTGTAACATTGCTCCATTTTTGGTGTGTTTACGATCGTTCCACCATGTTGGTGTCGCTCGAGTCTGCCCGCCGCCACACCTTACACATGAACCTGTTCATCTCAAAGATGTTAGCGGAGACACATGGGAGGGGGAAAAGTGCTCTTTCTCTCCTCTCTCTCGCTCTCTTTAGACAAACAGGCAAAATGTTACCCAGTGTCAATTTCCATAGAAACAAGGGGGGGGGGGGGCTGGACAGGGTTGAATTCACTGCCAATCTTTGATTTGGCCTCTAGGAAGAGGAAAGCAAGACTTTCCTTTCTGCTGTTGGTTTTTTTCCCCCTTCTTCTCCTCCTGCCCCCAAGGGGTCGAATTGACCCCGAAAAAAAACTTTCTCAATGAAACGAGAAAATGCAACCTGAAACCATCAAGGTGTGAATGCGGCAACAATCAGACTCCCGTGAGCTTCCTGTTGATCACGGAAAAACTGTGAATGTAGCCTCGAGAAAGTCGCACATTCAGGCCTTTTTCACCTGTGTGAATTCTAACTTCAAATGTATTAATCGCCTGTGTTGCAGAGTGAGTGTGTGTGTGTGCGTGTGTGTGTGTGTGTGTGTCTTTGTCAGTAATGAATGTGGGCTGGCCTGGGAACAATGTGGCCCGTTGGTCGCCATAGGGACCGCTGCCCCCGCCTCTCTCCTCAGTGGGAGTGGTAATGGCTGCGGGTTAGTGACTGTATTGAAATGAGGGAAGCCTATTTCTTCTTTCCCCTCTTTTGTGCTCTGCACGATTCACCTTCTCTGGGAGATAAGTGGAGGTGTTGTAGAAGGAAATGGACGAGGAGAAGATGAAGAAGGGGGAAAAAATGGTTGTTCACTGTAGAAAGTTACAGAAATAAGACATTTCTGTTATTATGACTTCAAAAGTGACATTTTTGGAGGAGTGTGTTGGGGGTGTTTGATACAGAAGTTAAGCTGAATTCAGCTCTTCATAGTTTGTTGTTTTCCCAAGTGCCCGACTGCTATAGTGTCACTTGCAGGCACGACAGCTATGACAAGTAGCACCATCATGGTTGGACGCCACTAACTCACCATGGGGTTTGTTTCCATAGTGACCCCCCCCCCCTTTCTTCACAGTTGAAGAATGGCTCTGTCACAAAAGGAAGAAGATAACAATGCACATCATTTACAATCATTTCTTGGATACCAGAAATCAAGACTGCGCAAACAGTTGCAGGCGCAGAGAGAAGAGGTCATGACACCGACGGTTTATCCTCCAGATAAGCAACTTATTAAATTCATCGCTGGCTCCACCGATAATGATTCCTTGTCTTTAATTTGACACCCCCCCACTCCACCGCAGCTCGTGCATCAGCGCAGCCTCACGGGCCGTGGAAGGGCCGCTTGTGGCTGGCACTTGGGTGTCGGTGGTGTTTTGGTAGGGGTGCCGTGGCAGCCTGTGTGTGTGTGGTGTGGAAAGGGCTCAGTGATCAGCCACAGGGGTTGGGTGGTGAGTAGAGTAGCCCTTTTAGACCGCTGCTCACCCTGCCCCCTCTCTCATGCAGACAGGTTATCCTGTTAGAGAGGGGAGAGAGAAAAGTTCTCCAGTGGCAACAGAAAGAATGTGCCATGCTGTGACCGACTGAACCGCTCCAGCACTGGAATTAACGCAGCTTTGCTCGGCCGCGAGGCTGAGGAGCGAATACTGTGCTGCAGAGGAATTTATTGGTACTTATTGTGTTTGAAGGACAGATGCTGTCCGGTTTTGACCAGTGTGCTGGAGCAGGCCTTACTGTGATTTATGCAACTGCTGCTCTGCTAGCTGCCCCTCTGGGTGTCCTCCCGGCTTCCCACTGTCTGTAAAGTTAGTGACGGCCGAAGCAAAAGACACCTTTTGTGGGACAAAGTGTCCATTCAGCTGCAGCTCCAAGGTGCAACTGTGGAGAGTTTTACAACAAAGTCACACAGCCTTTTAGTTCGAGTTGCATTAGGGGTTATCCTACTCCCCCCTCCTGCTTAACCATTTCCATACTGAGATGAGTGGAAAGACTGAGGTGGTGGTGGGGGCAGGATAACCCCGTCTGTGATTACTGTGACTCTCCTAACTAATAGGATTGGAGTCAACAAGCTTGAGTTGTTCCTCTGAGATGTTGAGTGCGGCCCAATCGGTGCGTTGCTTTAAGTGCGTTCCCAGCTCAGGCTGTGACAGGCAGCACACTCGGCCAACTGTTGCATAGCTGGGATGTAGCCGGTCAAAGGGGATTACCCTGATTTCATAAACCTCTCTTGGAATTACGTTCAGCTTCTTCCCTGTTACCTTGAGTCCGGTGAGGTTAGACTCCTCTCTAAACTACACCTCTGAGGCCTCACATGTATTCATGATATTTCTGTCCCATATGTTTATGTTTGTTTGTTTTTTTTAAATATAAAAATCTCACGAGTGAATGTTTTTGAAATTAAAGCCGTCCCCCACCCAAAAAAACCCAACAAAACAAATTTTGTTTAGAGTCGTTAATCATTGAGAACAAGATGCCCCAGCCTCATAAAAGTCCAGTCAGTATGTATGTGCATTGGGAATTTCCCAGTAAAGTTCACTTCTTGCATGTAAGGTCAGTTTTTAAGTAAGTAGAAAGAAACGTTCAGCAGGTGAAAGCAAAGCTGGTCTCCTGTGTCACACTCTGAACACCTGAGGTAACGGGATGAGTCCGATAAACACGGCCACTTCATGTGCTTAATGTTCACAATTTCCTCACCACGGATGTGCCGTGTGCTGCCATGTGTTTGATTTTGTGTGTTTGTGTGTGTGTGTGTCTTGTTTGTTTGAATGTACACAGGAGTTTTGGACATCGGGAGGGTTGGTGACCGGAGGTGACTATCAGAGTAGTCTAGCCACCATAGAAACTAAACAGTAGACTCTGCATCTGATCCTCCAGTGTTAGCCTATAGTCTTCTCACTCTGCTCTCTAGAAAGAAAGTGAAATAAATAAATAAGAGACAGAAACTTGCGTTGGTGATGTCGACTCTCATTAGAAAACTCTGGTAAATGCACACGGTTTACCATAGAGGCTCTAGCTCTCTACTGTAGTTCAACTCTACCCTCTCATGGTTACGGACTAATCTTAGCGCTGTACTGTCTCACCATCTGTTAGTGTAACAGCAGTACAGTGTGGCGTAGTCTAGTTGTTCTCTAGCTCTATTAGACCGTATAGACTAATATAGAGGTCTCAAATTCCAATTTTACAGCCTGTCTATGATTGCATCTTCATGGTGTGGTTTGGCTCTCTCTCCAATCTTAACCTTGGTGACATTCGGGGGGTTAGTCCACATCAGTTTGGGTTTTTTTTGTTGTTGTTGGTTTTTTGGGGTTGTATTAATCTGAAATGAGTTACTCAGTTAAAAAAAAGCACTTTTATTTTTCTGGAAGTAAAGATGACGGACTGCTGGGCAGACCAGCCAGACCACCTAAAGATCACACAGGTCGAATGGTTTCTATTGTTGTCATCGCTTGCGTCACAAGCAGGCCAAAATCGAACGAACGGACTTGGTGTGTCCGCTGTCAGCGCGATGTGATTGACAGCTCTTTGTCTTCCTCTCCTTCCTCGTTTTCTCCCGCTGTCTTTCTGACACACTTGACCTCCGTCTCCGGCTCTCCTTCCTCGCCGAGGTGAGGTGTGTTTGTGATTGTGGTGTCCGTGTGAGATTCCAGGAGATCACATGTCACATGGTGGTGACGAGAGAGGCCCGGGGTTCGCCGGACATTCCCAGGCATTCCACCTGCGCGAGCACGCTCACACACACGCACACGCACGGAAATTTACACGATCGATCAAGCCAGAGATGCATGTGCCTGCACCACACAGGCAAATCCATGCAAAATAAAAAAACACAAACTAGTAGCACACCCTCGCACACGCTGCACACGCACTGACAATGTGTGGCTTAAGCAGAAGAATGTAGAGCACGCACTCGCTTCGATTCAGTCGGCCTTTTCGGGCAGAGTTTTTTCCCGTTTTGTCTTGGTTGATGGAAAATGATCAACAATTTGTAAGTACTTTATTAAGAGACGCTCGCTGGAGTCTGGTACAGATTATTATACACTTGATCGTGCTGGAGGTGTGGCCAAAATAAGACGCAATCACTACATCAGTGTTGATACACGTAAACACGCACACTGGCATCACACACCTGGAAGACTCGACGCTTGAGTGGCCAAAGTCTGCATTCGGATTTCTGATTTAAAGAGAAATCTGTAGATTTTTCGTTGTGGTGTCGTCACGTTTTCTAGTACAGCGAGGCCCAAGTTTGATGTGAAAAACAGGTTTTTTTAGACATCAGTGTTGTGTGGTATTAGTGAACACGTGCGCTAGGCATGACAGGATAACCTGGATGTGTTGTACCTCCTCTGCTGACTTGCTAAAGAATGAAAGATGAGGGTCTGATATCAGAATACACCAGGGCAAGGCGGCGGGTTATAGCAGCGCATCACTAACCAGGTCCTCTTTTTTTCTATATCCTTTCTTTTAGATCGATCCAAAGGTCGCATTTCCTCGCAGAGCCCAGCCCAAGGTGAGTCGAGCGGCCTCCTCGCGCTTGTCCAGCGTCGAGTGTTTTCTGTCACGTATCTGGGACAGTGCCTCATAATGCTGATGTGAGCACAGGTTAACAAAACCTTTTAGACCCTCACCTGAATGTCGGTGTTACATTTCAAAGCAATGATGTTCATGTAAGTCAAATCAGAGCCAAGCGGAGCCTTATAATAATGAACAAAACAACTGTTTTCCTTTTGTTTGATGTACAATTTGTAGCTGTGCTTTGACAAATAGCTGGAATTTCAGTTTTACTGATCTTTTTCTTTTTAAAAATTTGCATTTACTGTTGTACTCCAAAGTCCCACCCTGACTTAAGTTGGTGTCCAGCGCTGTTCGAATGATTAGTCAAATTAATCAGTTAGTCGAAGTATATAAAATGAGTCGGCAATTCTGGCAATCAATTAGTTGTTTTAGGTCTTTAAAAAAAAAAAGGACCCAAAATTTGACGAGTCCAATCTCTGAATGTTTGATGGCTCAGTTTAGTAAAAAAAAAAGTGGTTTTCCTTTTGGACTGCTGGGACAGATTAAAAACGGCAACAACACTGCCCATATTTGTATTTTACTGAGTCATTTGTAGTGTTATAGTTACAGAAATTGAACATTGAACAACAGTTTATTCTTTTGGTTTTCTCTCACTGACTGCTAAGAATAAGTTTTATATATTCACTAATGGAAAGCCAGCAATACGTCATACAGCATCACTCACTCACTTCGCTCACTGGCATCAGACAAACTGCGAGGAAGTGAAACAAAAAAGCCCAAATAAATAATAACAGGTGTCCGATGCTTCCTGTGCACACGATTGAGGAACGCAGGAAGTCCTGCTTTTTATTAAAAGATTTTGTGAATTGCTGGTCAGCGAATAACACACGAGAAGCCGAATCCTTAGCATGTGAATCTTTTAAAATCAGGGCTTTTTATTGTTTTTTGTTTTTTTTAAATCTTCACAGCTTGAGGACATCAAACTTGGAGGAGCAAAGTCATTCACAGCCTTTAAAACAGAGTGTTGCATTCTTGTTTAGTGTCATACGGCTCGTCAGTCAGACACTTTCACATGTGGCCTGTGCTCTTGTAAAACCTGGCAGCAGTTTGTATTGTGTACTTAAACGGCCTAAAGAAAACGTGTGGATGATAATTCTACCATTACACTTAATGATTTCATATGATCAGCTTTAGTGACACAGCTTTATAATCAAATGTAGCTCTCACTGAACTCCATGTGCATGCATTTCTAATGAAACTGGTTCATGAGTGCTGCCCTTTCTTTCCTCCTTCTTTTGTCCAGTTGGTCACTCGAACCAAGAAAATCTTTGTGGGAGGCCTGTCGGTGAACACGACTATCGAGGACGTCAAGCAGTACTTCGACCAGTTTGGGAAGGTGAGTGGCGGGTCCACGCGGTTTGGAATGAAACCAGCCAGTCCTTACGGACTTGCATAAGTTTGCCGGTGCAGAAACAAATCAGCAGCTCAGAAAAGCCGTAGTACCACATCCCACAAGCTCGGCAGGTTCAGATTCACAGCACATTCTCGGAGAAAAACTTCACTTTGAATCAAGCGACTTGACTGGGAGTGAAGGAGTTACTGGGGAGGAGGGCGAGAAAAAAAGGCTCGACGAGGACAGAAAAAAATAACGAGGCTGGGAGGCTCTGGGAGCAGCAGGCGAAGTTTAGGGGGACTGGAAGACGGAGCGAGGGGTGGGGGGGAGTGGAGGAGGAGGTTGTGTGAGGAAGGGGGAGAAAAGTTTTGTAGTGAGTGTGTGGTGATGGAGAGGAAGGAGGAGGGATTATCAGAATCTGAATTAATCTGATGTAACAGCTGCTCCTACCCACAACCCCCTCCTGGCCCGTTACCGTGGTGACCCGGCTTGTCCATTGTCCCCAAGTAATTCTGCGGGTAAGGGGGTTTTGTTCTGCGGGAGGAGGGATGAGGCGGCGTTAGCATAAGTGTGTTGGTTGTGGAGAGTGGGGGGGGGTCCAACTCACGAGTTTGGGAGCAATAAATAGAAGTTGAGTCGTTGTAAAAAAGCTTGTAAACTTGCCGCTCTTCCTTCAGTTTCTTACGTCGGTGTTTTTAAAAATTAGGTTTGAAAACTTGTTTTTTTTTAAAGATGTTTTGTGTTTTGCAAGATTCTGAAAGGCGTGGGGGCCGAAAAATAGACCGTGGGCTGACAAAGGCATCGTCAAGGGAGGGAGGGCCTTACTGAGGGAGGTTTGCAGAGGGGTAAGAGAGGGAACTGGGTCAAAATGGGGTATGTGTGAGTGCTGATCGGTGGTGGTGGCGGGGGGGGGACCATTATACTGCTGTATAAAGCTGGGCAAATATTTTGCTAGTTTGTTCTGAAGTTATCTGCATACTGGTGGTTTCTGGATTAATTACAATCCAGTGTGTCTTCTGATATGAAACTGACCGCATGTAATACGTGTGGTTTACATTCACACACTCAGTTCTTTCAGTTTTTCGGGGATCTTGTGCAAAGTTATCATTCAGACTTTTTTGTCCAGCAGATTTCAGTCTGCACCTCAAGCCCTTTAAAATGTTTTAAAAGCAAAGATGCAAAGACTCGGTCTGAGGTGCTGCGTTTCTGACCGCGCGTTGCTTCATTTCCAGCGCCGAAAGGTTTGGCCTCGAGTTCCTCTGTTGCTCCCTCCTCAATCATAGCGTCTAGATGAATTTTTGCCGAGAGATATATCCAGGGATGGACGGTGAAATGTAGGCTTCAGCCATCCATGGAAGTTCCTGATTAGACTGCCTCACTGGACCTTTTGTGTCCCGTCCTGGTGAGGACAAAGGAGTGCGGAGAGGGATGGGCAGGGGATAACAGGGAAGATGAGAGGTGGGGGGGAAGGATGAGGGGGAATATTGTTTGGCAGTACTCTGTGAAAATGCTCAGTGTTTGAAATATTGTGCAGTTAATTCTGTTCCCGCCACTAAATATTGTTTTGATCTTTTTTTATAGCATCCCAAAGGCCGACATGTGCGGTTTGAGCCCACGTCGGGTTTCTGTTTGCTTTAGTCTGATCATCGATCACTTGCGCCAGTCTGCACGCCGACCCTTTCCTCTGCTTGACTTTGTAGTAACTTTGGGCCGTTTCTCCCACTGGTGTCCAGAATAAAGGCTGTTTTTTTTTTGTGTGCAGAGATGGAGACTTGTAGGCAGTGAGTAAATGTCAGGCTGGAAGTAAGCAGTGACTTGAGAGGCACACTGACACTCCTCACTCACCTTTGACCTTTCTGTAGGCAAATTGCCCTTGTGGGTTCTCACACACACATACACAGACACTGGGCAAGGACTGACACTCCAATGTCACTATGACAAATTACTCTGTGGACTGTCTCCAGTAAACTTATTATAGACCGAGAGCACAGATTTACTTACCAAATGTTTTTGTGGAGCTCTGAAGTATAAACATGTCAGAAGAGACTGAAAGCGAGAGAAATAAAAGCAGAGACTGAGCTAAAGAGTAGGTCAACTTTGACAAAAGAAGCTGTGTGTGTGTGTGTGTGTGTGTGTGTGTGTGTGTGTGTGTGTGTGTGTGTGTGTGT